TTTTTAGACTTAGAGTCTTCAATTCAGCTTGATTTATCGTGGATAATTTCATTCTGGTGTGTACATTTCTTCTTGATTTCTTGATAACCTGATACTAACTTTTTATTCTGACGCTCATGGCGTTCTACAGTTTAATATCCAAAATTTGAGAAATTTAGATAGCTCAAGTCTAATTTTATATAAGCTTCTTGTCTACAGTTACGAGCTTCTTGTCTACAGTTACTATGGTTCCTTATCATTCTCTGGTCTGCGAAAACATGCCTGAGTGATCAAAAAACTTTAAATGTGTACTTGAAAGTAAGTGACTCATAAGGCGAAGATTAAGGTTTTTTGGGAAATGCTTTGCAAAAGTTTGCTAAAATATAAATTTATCAAAAGCTCATTTGGAATAATTTTTGGTCAAAAAATTTTTTTCCGTTTTTCACGAAAATGGTACGTTATAGAAGTGAAGTGATCAAACTAGAAGAACTGATACGGTAACGAAAATACTTGCAGGAGACCAACGAATAGCTCTTTTGGGTGATTACACTCAGTGCCATACAGTTATAAAGCACGGTTATCACCCATCATATTATGCCCACTAAAAAGGTGGTGTTGCAGAATAAGTAAGAGCAAAAAAAAAAAAGAAATTTCAGCACAAAACTGTTAAAATGCTAGGAATAAGTATGATAAATGAGTCTGAAATCACTGTAAATTAATGATGCAGGGCCAAGAGTCCTATATGAAAAAATGAATGTATATGAACAGCAGAAACAGGCGTATCTGAGGCTGGGCACGCTTAAATGCTATATGACTCGAAATTGCCGGGTTTGTGCTAAAGTGACTGCTGTTATAAAATGTTTCCTCTTTCTTCAGTGCTGAAAAGTTGTATGATGGGTTGTTATCACAGGTTATCGGAATTTCCTTGTTTTTGTTACTGCTTACGTGTTTCAACTTATTTTCAGCAGTTCAAGAGTTTGCGACGGATGGCAGACGGTGAGTTTATAAAGAGTGACGCAGAGAACCTAATAAGTGAAGGGAAGGTGATTAATACCAATTCTTGCCTAGTTGATCTGATCTGTATTACTGGTGCTTCACTGCTTTTCTTAGTATCCAGTTAAATTCTTCATTTAGTAGTTAGCAATCAACCGTATTTGATCGGTTTTCTTTTTTTCAGGACAACGATGAACGAAAATTAACTTTAGACGGTAGCCCAGCTTTCCAACACTTTTACTCGGAACCGAGTTTTACAGGTCAGTCATCTCTAATTTACCATATGTTTTGAATATCTTGTTGCTCCTGTCTGTGTTATATGGTGAGCAAACAGTGCTACTGATTAGCTTAAAACTGCTGAATAACATTGTTTCAGGTACTCATCCTGGTACGGTTTTAGACGTTACTCTTTTGCCACCACCTCCAGATGGAGGGTATGGATGGGTAGTTGTCCTTGCAGCTTTTTTACACAGCTTTTTCATCGATGGTATTGCGAATTCGTTCAGTGTTTTTCTCCCCATTTTTCGTAGTCACTTCCACTCCTCTGTGGCGCTCACCTCATTTATTGGATCTGCCCTCATTGGTTGTTACCATTTAGTAGGTAAGACTAACAGGAATCAAAGATTCTTATAAACGCGGTTCAGGTTTTTATCGTACCTTACCTATTTGCACAATTAAGTAAGTGGAAGAGTGAATTTTTCTTGCAGACTAAAGTTACTAAAAAGATGTGCTACTAGAAGATCAAGAATCACTTTATGAGAAACTGCATCTTTATTTTTTTAACCAGAAGGTAGCATGTTTTGTTTTACTGCAGAAAATCAGTCAGCAGTACTTTGAAGGTAATAAAACGTTTTTCCATGTTGTCTTGGAACTAAATTTTAGGTCCAGTAGTAGGTGGATTTGTAAATGCTTTTGGCTGTCGAAGAGTGGTCATTGTTGGCGCCGTAATATCTTCTGCGGCTTTTGTATTATCAGTTCACTCACCCTCAATATACTTCTTTATGGTCTCCTACGGCATTCTAGGCGGTATATTATCATTATCAAGTTGTTATTATAAACTTCAATTCTAAAAAATAAGCTGGAAGCCGCGAATTTCCAACTGATTTTCTTGTAATTAGTCGAGTTGTAGTTGAAGATTTGTTGCTTTAGTAACTTGAGTTAAAAAGTCGCTAGGCAAGACATGGTTGATTTTAGACGTTTGCTAAGTGTAGGATTTATCAATTGGAAGTAGGTGTTCACTTCTTTAGGCATTGGATTTGGTTTGATTTATTTGCCTTCAATTGTGTGTCTCAGCTTTTATTTCGAACGGAAAAGAGCGGTGGCCACTGGACTTGCTGTTGCAGGGACAGGAGTGGGTACTTTTGTGATGCCTGTGGTAATAAACAGCTTGTTGGTTTGTAAGTGATATTTTGATTCCGTTTACTAACTCTTGAAATTCGTTTGTATTTACAAAAGGGACTTAAAAACACAGCACTTGTATTTTTTTAAGATCGTGGAGTAACCGTGCTTTAATTGTCGTTATTACTTCTTTCTATACCGTTTTAGAAAGTATTTTTCTAGTTGCTGAAAATGGTTGTTAAACGAAAAATGTTTAACTTATTGCAGGTTTTGAAACCTTGCAGTAAGAAAAAGCTTTCTTTGATTTCCCTTTTTTTCTTTTTGGCTAATCAGTTTTATTTCGTTACTGAAATTCAACTTTTTTTGAAAATCAATCGGGAATTTACTATATATGCGTAGCCCCGACTTTGCATTCTACAGGGTGTGGTTGGAGATGTACCATTTATTTTCTTGGTGGCCTATCTTTCAGCTGCCTATTTTACGGACTCTTATATCGACCTTTAAAAATAAAGGCTCTTGAGAAAGACCAAAAAATTGAGGAAGTGGTAAGTTACAGTGATTTTTTATGTTTTTTCTTTTATCTTTTTAAAAGAATTAGAAGTAGTGATGACATTGTCTTCTACATATCCACTTGTTCGTACCACTGAGTACATTGATTTCTAATTTACTTTTTTTATCGATAAGATTTGCATTGCTGTGATACGTTTCTGTTTCAGGATGCCTCTGTAGGCAATGTCTGTTCGAGCACTCCCGTGGTTTTAAAATTAGAAGGTAAAAAAACAGTGGCTTTTCAATACAGTTTGGGCTATCTTTGCATTTCTCTACAAAACAGGTTTCGCTTCTTTAGCAGAGGAGACCGCCGTTACTCCGAAGTCAAACATCTCTGACAGGACACCCCACAAGACAGCAGATAGTGCTACTCGTCAATGTGACACTACTCCACATTCTCACTCATCTAGCCCTGCAGAACACTACTTTATACGGTATTTTAAATTTTCTGTTTTATGGTTTTTTGGCGTTTAAAAAAGTAGAATAGAGTCAGACAAGTTTTTTGTAGTGTGGAGCAGGGAACTTATCTTGGTTACGTTTTTACTCTTACAAACTTTTTGGATTAAAAACTGGTTTTGTTTGGCGTCTTTATTTTCTGAGCAAATTAAATGTTTCAAAAATGTGTTGATTTACTCAGTGCATGCTGTAATAATTTCGCTAAACTTTCTGACCTATGACTTGGGACTCTCCGATACGCTTTTCACAGTGATCTTATAAGGCTTTACTTGTAAGCGAATAAGATGGACTATTAGTGATAAAACATATGTTTTAAAGCTGGCAGGGTAAGTTTCAACCTGAGTCTGATTATAGACATGATCGGAGCGATGTGAAGAGTCGCGTCTCATTTAGAAGTTATACTCGCTCGCTTGGCCGTTCGTCGCAACATCCGCAGGAAACTCGTTCGCTATTTTCTGCACCTGTTAGTCGTTCCCTACTGTTATATCTTCGCTGCTTATTTCACTTTTTTAAATTTTTCTTGATTTCTGGGAATGCTTGAAAACAGTAGGAAAGTAAATGAGAAATTTTTTTTTCACTGAACCTGTTGTATGAACTGAGAATGTTGATGTACTTATATTGAGACAGCGTGTATTAGTTGCGGCTGGCACGAATGCTAGAAGAAAAATGGTGGGACCTCACGCATTGATTCACATTGGTTCTATTCACACGAGCGATTTAACAATTGATATTTTTGCATATGGAAGTAACCGGCTATTTAAGGGAGATTTTCTTGAACAAATTTTTTGATAACTGACAGCCACTGACAGTAATTGAGGGTTTGAGGACCTAAAGTCCTATCGGTGTTGTGATATGGAAGTTTATAGGTGGAGCAGAATTCCATGTGTTGGGTGCATCAAACAGTATGTACTCTTCAGCTGTCTCATAGTACAGTAAGTAGTGCTTTTGCAGCGAATGAACTGAGTAGCTCCGTTTCTAGCCACAGTTTGCAATCCAAAATCTCCTAAAAAAGTATTCTGCTCACGCAAAACTGTTGCTAATTGGCTCGAAAATTTTCAAAACAACTTAGAAGGTGCATGTTGCTTGCGGGTTCAATTACCAGGTGCAAGTTATTGCACAGGTCACTGTCAGCTCTGTTTTTATTATGTTTTATTTTTCGTGTGATGATGAAACTATTTTTAAAACATTGCAATCGGGGATTCTATACCTTCCTGATTGACTGGTTTGCTTCTTGAGAAATCTGAAAAGTATTTTCATGTCTGAGTGAGTTGCGAAGCATGCTTTTTTGATGGTTAACGCATATTGTAGGGATTTCAAAATGCCATTGATTTGGAGGAGCTGTGCAGGCCACTTAGCCACAGTGATATATTTTACCAGGGCTCTATCCGTAGGCTTCCCGAGTACGGAACTGAAGGTAAGGTTTTTTTTACGGTGGATATAGCGTTTAAAATGTGCGGCACTTCTTTTTTTTCGTCACTAAGACGTCATGGTTATTTAACTTTCTCTCTTGACCATTTGGGAGATTTTTAGCTGGTAGCGTCCGGGGTTATAGAGCGTCTCAGATTTCCATTCCGAAAGACTTTGCTGTGCAAAGCATACGTCATCTGTCATCTGCAGAGGGGAAAAAGTGCTTGACTTGCGGCACTTTGGAAGTCACTATTAAGGAACAGTCCACTTCTTCTAAGGGGTACTTTGCCTAAATTAACTTTTTACTATGTTCATTGTGTCTGACTTGTGCTTTTTTAGGGTATTCAAACTGCTTCCTTTACCAATAAAAAGTGCTTTGGAAATGATGGACTTCAGTTTAGCAAAGGAGCCAGTCATGATTATTTTGTTGCTCTCTAATCTTTTTGGCATGCTAGCTTTCTATATACCTTTCATGTTTATAACACATTTAGCCGTAATGAGAGCAATTTCGCTGGACTATGCTGAACTGCTTCTTCCACTTATTGGTCTGAGCAACACCTTAGGTATCGAATTTGCCGTAATTTTGAAATGCTGGCTTTAGTGCTATGTATGGTAATTTATAGGCCCCATGGCAAACCACATTGTCGCTGAACCCTTTGTAGTATTCCTTGTTGCCTGTGTGCAGACTTTCACTGACTATAGATTCTGTTACTGTAGAAATAGGGGAGCACAATTCGCGAAAGAGGTTTTTCCATTCTAAAATCAGCTTCAGGTCGTGTAGTTTTTGGATGGTTGGCGGATCGCGGTTGGATGTCTCCATTGGTGATCTATTCAGCAAGTCTCTGCATTTGTGGAGTGCTGTGTGTCGCATGTCCTTCCTTACCAACTTTCAGCTTACTAACTGCATACTGCACTGCGTTTGGTTTTACAATAGGTATTTCTTCTGCCAAACTTTATTAAAAAATTCCTTTTGAATTGTTCTCCCAGAGTAGCAATAGTGAGGTTTTTAGCTTCCTTCTCTTGCCTACCATCAATAATCCTTGCGCACCTTTTGGGTATAAAACGCCTAACAAGTTCATTTGGACTTTTAATTGTGAGTAGAGGAATTGCTGCTTTGATTGGTACGCCTATTGGAGGTAAGTCTCAATCTAATTTAGCCATGTCGTTGTGTAACTTGTGTCGTTGTGTACTGTATCGCTTCAGCTTTAAGCAGGTTTGTTTTTTTTTATGTGACTGCCATTTTTTTGATATATGCTGTATACAGGTCGCTCCATGCCAGTTCGCACAATTCCACCTGATATCTCAGTACTTTTTTAAATAATGGTGATTTGTAGAGTGTCGGCACGGATTCAAAAAACTGAAGAGAGAACCTAGGAGGTTGGATACCTCACCGTGCCATGCCCATCCAAAGTTTCAAATTTCACAGTTACTACGCATGTTTGTCTTCTCGCACTTAAAAATTTCTGTTCCACTTTAATATCAACGACTTTTAGCTTAATAGATTTCAATTTTTTCTTTTCTTGAAGTTTATTACACTCTTTATTTTAGTTAAACAATTAGACAAGTACCAAAGCAAAAGCTTTTAAAAAACTACAAAAAAACGTCCTAAATTTGCACTAGGAACATTTTATGCATAATTTTTTGTTTTATAACGTCACTTGCTGTTGATGTTCCTCTGACGGAATCTGAAATTATACCTTAGAAAGCGAAGCGAGATGAACAAAAATTTATTATTTTTATGGTAATCGCTTAGATTTTGCAGTGATGAAATTAGCGTTAGGTGCCTCTAAAAGTTAAGTTGCTATCGAAAACCAGTATGTTTTATTTGTTACGAAGTTGCTTCAGAAAGTTACATTTTGCGCAAAAGTACTCGCGGTTTGTAATTCTGTGACAAGCACTCCAAGGACTGAAGGTGCTTGCGACACAAGTTTTCTGCTCGGAAACATGCTTGAAATCCTAATCAGTTTCCTTTAAAGATCTTTTTCAGTTGCAAGCGAGACGGTGTAACAGTTCATTTATGTTTACGTCGGCCTGTCCAGTGCTTACAAAATGTAGTGTACAAAAAAATCTAGTTTTCTGATGGTGCCGCCTTGCAGCACAGGGTTGAGAAGTTTTTGCAAACATTTAGTGTAAGAGGCTGGTTTCTGTGTTACTGCAGAATGGCTTATTTTTGCTGCTGCACGTGAAGAGAGGTCTTGATATAGTGTCGGGGCACCTTGAAGGGGTTGGATGATAGAGCCAGCCTCCAGAAGCCTTATTCCGACCAAACATTAGTGCCTTCAGACTATACGGCTCTGCTTAGTGGAACTTGCATCATATTAACGTAGTTTTTCTTTGTCAGCAGATTGCGAGAAGCGAATATTACTATCGCCAAGGTTTGAAAAGACACTCAAAACCAGTGAGACCGAGTAAGATCTCTCTTCTGTTCCATAACGGCAGGAAGAAATCTCATAAAGTTATATCATTTTCTGCTACTGCAGAATGTTCGTACC